AAGCTATTTCACTCGTGATTGGAGGCTAGCAATAGGAGGAAGCTTCTCTGCAGAAACAAAGCATGGGCAGTTTTGCAACCACGCAGTTCTCTCCTCGGCTGACTTCCTTGAATAAGATGCCCTTCAGTTTTTAGGGTAAGGATTTCAATAGGAGGAAGCTTCTCTGCAGAAACAAAGCATGGGCAGTTTTGCAACCACGCAGTTCTCTCCTCGGCTGACTTCCTTGAATAAGATGCCCTTCAGTTTTTAGGGTAAGGATTTTAGAAAAAAGGTATCGTCTTATAGTCGGAAAAATACGGTAGTCATCATCTTATGATAATTAATTCCATTGTAGGACTTTAGCCACTGCTCAAGTTAGTTGTTAGAATGGAGGCATATCCAACTAGCCAGTACTCACTGATATTAATTTTATTTATCCTTCATTTGTCTAATTATTTTAAATAATCTAAGCCAATGGCAAAGTCAATAATGCCTTTCCTTCCAGGTTTCCAGGCTTATAAATCTAGTCAGATCTCTTTTCTTACCATTACCTTTCAGCTTGCCCCTCCCCAATTCTGCAAATAACTGATGAAGAATCAGTCATACAAATGGAGGATGCCGATGCCAAAATAAATAGGGGTATACATGTTATTGATTTATATATTTTATTTTGATAAGAGTGTTTTGGTCCATGCTTAATTTTACAAGCCTCAAAATACTCAGCTGTGTACAAAGTTTAGGTGTCATGATCAAACAGTAAGTTTCAATGAAGCCCTAAGTGAATAGAAACGAATATAACCTCAACATGGTATAAAATGAAACATGAGATCTTTCTGCAAATTTGAATGCATACTTACTACTTAAGGTGCAGTTGTTTATTGATTCAAAATAGAAAACAGTTAATTTGGCAGGTACAGAAGTTTGGACACCCAGTTAATTCAATTACATTTTTTGGTTACTATACAGTAAGTTGTTAAAAAAGCTCAAAAAGTGATTGACCCATTAGCCAGGTCAAGACAATTTTACAGATGAACAAAGGGCTTGACTTTAACTTCTCTGGTTTTTTCAACAACCATGGGCTCCTCCAAACAGATGTCCGAGTATGAAAATAATAATAAATAATTCATTCTTTACAAAGCAAGCAAAGCTATAAAAATTATCTAAATGCTTCTAGCTAGCAGTTTCAACTATTTATTTTTTAAAAATTGAAGTTATATGGAACTGTTGAGGTCAGGGAAAGGTCTGAAAGATCAAGAGAAATTCTGGTTAGAACTGCTTGAAAACTAGACAGATCTGCAAAACAGAACCTACAGATCAATGCAAATGGCTTGCTGAAAAGTTTAGTTGACACTGGAGTTAGTTCCCACAGATACACAGTATAGGTATCCCCAGTTTAAGAACAAGTTCAGTTCCCAAGATCTGTCCTTAAGTTGAATTTGTATGTAAGCCAGAACAGT